CCGGACGTCTTATCCCGACGAGGCCACGACGACTTCACTATACTATGCGGAAACGCTGCATTCAATAATTCACAGTGCTCTTTCAGAGACCATAGTTGCCAAAATTGAAGCAAACGGAATCTATGCTGCTTAATACACTCAGGTGCAGTTCATCGTTTTGTCTATTTCGTTCTTTATCGTTGTACCTAAGCAAAGAGAGAGAGAGAGAAAGAGAGAGAGAGTTTGCTTTATGGTAGACAAAATAAATAAGAATGCAAAATATGAAATACAAAAAAGCAGAGAGACCATATGAGTGTCACCGGGCTAGTAGGTGAGCTCACAGGGCCCAAACCTGACGATGTTGCTAACACGAACCCTAGCTATATCCGTGCTTCGCAGAATCTGCCACCGGATCGGAAACGCGACCCACTGAGAAGATCCGGCGAGAAGTTAATTTACTTGCCGAGCCCTTCGTCGCAAGCGACGGGTTCGACGAGAACGATGACCGATGTTTGGGGTACCTAAAAGCACTGTTAGTAGATCGGGAGGATCCAAGATAACGTGTTTTGGACGACGTCGACTGTTTACCATTCGGTCCGCAGGATCGGGAATGTAGTTACCGGCGGCCACGATGAGAGGGTTCTCGTGTCCAGGTCGTCATGGAGGTCGATGTTCCTGACGAACCACGGGGCTCCGACGGCTATCCTGCAAAAACGGGATTGAATAACTTAGAATGATTTCAAGTGAGTGCGGGCCGCGTGAGCGAACACGGCGGGGGTATACGACAGCAGCCTGTTCACGCTAAAATAATTATTCACTAAGCGTCTGCAATAATAGTGATAGTAGCTTCGTCACCTTATTTACTTACATCAAAGTTAAATACTAAAACTGAACGGATGAGTGAATCCCATCTTCATCTGGGCCTTTGTTATAGGGAGGTCAAAGCATTTGTGACACTCAACACTTAAGGGATGAACTTCAGCATATGAAGCATTATCACTAAGGACAAACTTCATCAAGAAAAATAAACCTGTTACTACAAAAATATTTAGTTAATTATGAACAATCAAAGCACGGAACTTAAGAATGCGGCGTAGAGATCATAATAAAATATATAAGCAGATGCGCCATGATTCTCATCACACTCTCAGGATCCTTTACAAAACAATATCAGTGCGATAAGGCGCGACGGACAATAAATAACACAAACAGTCCTGATCGAACCACAAGACGAACTGGTCGAAATGTGGCACGCGCTGTTCATGTCCTCAATATTATTCACATTCGCGTATTTATTTAAAAAAATAACAGACAGGGAACCGAATAAAATTAAATATCAGTTTTATTTCATATCATTTTATGTCTCTTGTTATATGTTGGCATTGGTGATGTGGCCGCTTTTCCTGTTCAGCCCAAAAAATGTAAGGAATTGCAAGTAAGTAAAGGCTTTTGTTTTTTTTTTTTTGCATCTAAAACAACCCGACACAAATTCTTCATTCCACAGCTTTACTTACACAAAATAACATAATAAAAAAATAAAAAAAATATTTATTTATTATAATAACACGGAAAAATGTGCGTTTGTTATTTATCTCGATAAATTTATTTGTGAATTAATTAAACTTTAACTGTCAAACATAATATAAAATTATAGAATATTGCAATTTTATTAGCTGAATTACATAAATAAATCGAGGAATGAAAGGCCATTTGGTTTAAGCGACATTTCGCTTAATACGTGGCATTTAAGTTTGTAATTAAAAGTTCGTTTTATTTAGTACTAGCTGACCCGGCAGACTTCGTAGTGCCTCAATGGATAAATAAAAAACCTAAACTTTTGTATAAAATAAACATACAACAAACAAAAGGAATTCGTCCGACGGGGGACACATCAAAGAGAAAACAAAATGTTATTATTTATTTAATTCCGAGCATTTTCATATTTATCTACCTTTTAAGCCCTCTCTAGACTTCCACAAATAATTCAAGACCAAAATTAGCCAAATCTGTCTAGCCGTTCTCGAGTTTTAGCGAGACTAACGAACAGCAATTCATTTTTATATATAGAGATTAGTATCTACAATTCAATGTTTTAAATTGAATATCAATTAAGTTTACCCCATTGAAATGGCCGAATATTTTTTTTTGTTATGATGATACTTTTTTCCAAATGTTAATCTTTAAATGGCTCTCCTGTAAATTTCCAAAAATGTCATTTAAACCAAATAAACTTTCAGCCCTCAAAATAATTGTGCACAGGCGGACTTAAGGCCATGACCCTACAATTCCAGTTAAAATAAAAATTAAACAAAACACAACAAGATCACAGAAGTATAGGACACGTATAGATAAAAGCATAGATTACATTTATCGTAATTTATCTATTTATTTGTTTGTTTTCCACCTTCTATGGCTGTCAACAAGTAATTAATCGTTAAACAATGCATTAGATAATATGTACCTACAACCACGTGAACAACACTGTATTTGTTATTTTAACACGCTCGTGGTACAATGATATCATGTCAGATGAGGTAGATATGAAGAGTTGAACCGGCAGAGTCGTGGGATTGTCTTGTAATTAGGTATTTTAAAAGTCATATTATGAGTGTAAAGTGTATTTTTTGGTTACTATTACTAATTTAAGTTAATCCAGCATACAAATTGATGTTAAATTCAATTATAAATATGTCCTAAAAATATTTTAAAAACAAAAGATGTCTCAGGTACTAAATGTTTTTATTAAATATACCATTTTCATTTTATTATAAAAAGATCATCTGAAAAAACATAGTGTGAGCTGAGAATGGTTATACTACGATTGTTATTAAGATAAAAAAAAATGATTAATAAGTATTAGCAACAATCCAAGTCTGCTCAGTACAACATTAATCGCGATATTATATTTGATAATATTACGAATTCAAATTCATACATATTAGAGACATTCGAATATTCAACAATGAGTTTTAAATTTGGAAAGAAAAACAACTTAGTGCTGTTTGAAAATTTTATTTTTCTACAGTAGGTACCGTAAAATGGGGCGATTAGGGACAAATTCCAACTTTATGAGCAATTTTAAGGTAGTTGTTGATGTATATAATGCTATATCAGGATCAAAATGATTGAGTCTTGGGGGCATCTTTGTTGTCTAATTTAAAATTATGCAACTAGCATTCCAGTTTAAGCAAAAAATGCAAAAATAGGTGTAATCCCTATTTACCCGAAAATTGCGGTTAATTGGGACGAAATGAGAAATTTGCTAGGGTTGGCACTACTTTTATTTTTATATATAGTTTTAATTTATTTATTTATTTAGTTGCACCAACAAAGTGATCATCAATAAAAAAAATTGAAAAACTGACAAAAGTACATGGCAGACATCACCTCAATTATAGGTGCAATCGACAGTGCTGATATTTCTATCTGGGTTAAGAGATTAGGTGTGTCGGTTATTCCATGGATTAATCAGATGAATACCCCCACTCTGAACAAATATTAAATATTTTATTATGTATTACTTAGACATTTTTGTCCACCTTGAGATTTCATTGATCTTGTTACATGTCTCTGCAAAATCGACTTACTTATATTAAATTGCTTATCTATTTCAACTAAAGACTTATTCCCAATTTCGCTTCGAATAAACCAGATTTTTACCAACAAATTTAAAAAATATTGTTATAACTACATAGACAACCCTACAAACCTGTACCTATTTATACTTAGGTCGTTTCCATTTCACGTATTCTCATCCCAATTGACCCCTTTTTCGTTGTTATTTGTACCTAAGACGTCCCCAATATCCCCAAAAACAACAGATTTTTACATGTATTTTTATTTAATCAAATACATTAAAACCAATAACAACTGAGACTTACCTTTAATATATATGCTGGTTCAAACACTAAATAACGTTTATAAATCATAGTCGTCTTCTATTATTATCAAATAAATAAAAGAGAGCAAAGTTTCTAGCACTAAAATAATTACCACCACAGGAAGTTAATTTGAAACGCGATTTTTTATAAGTTAGCAGCTATTATCATGCATATTCAGAGTTGTTTTGTGAACTTTCAACATTCTACTATTAAACTACAAAAAATGGAAGATTTTGCAACGAATATAAAACTTATATTGAGCGTCGAAAGATTTTCCCGGTTTTTTCCCGATTCGCCTCTCAATCCCTAATCGCCCCATTTTACCGGTACTTTTTTTAACAAAATTATGATTTGTAAATTAATTCATATTTATAAGATTTATAAATGCGTAACAGCTTATTTGAAATTGTTTTTTACAATTTGTAAAATATTCGATAAGATTTAAAATAAATAGTTCATAATTGTTCGATGCGCTAATTTAATAAATAAGTTGTAAATTCAAGACTACGTTGAATTCATTGAACACACAATACACAAAACCTCAATTTAGACACCACCCAACGAATGAGCTTAAACAGATTTTCATTTGCATTACATTACTTGCAGTGAAAAAGTCATTAATATTTATCCCGTTACAACAGCATCATTTATTTGTCCATATCCTCCTATAAGCAGTGGAGGTAAAAATAAGCAATATAAATATCACGATATTCAAAATAGTACTTCCTCCAACATGTGTATAAATAAATACAGAATTTTGGCGAATAAAAGTTTTTTTTATTGCTTAAATGGGTGGACGAGCTCAGAGCCCACCCGGTGTTAAGTGGTTACTCGAGCCCATGGACATTTACCTACAACGTAAATGCGCCACCCATCTTGAGATGTAAGTTCTAAGGTGTCGGTCTAAGGACCTCATGTGAGTCCGCACGAGTAGGTACCACCACCCCGTCTATTTCGGCTGTGAAGCAGTAATGCAATTCGGTTTGAAGAGTGGGGCGGCCGTTGTAACTATACCTACTAAGATCTTAAAACTTATATCTCAAGGTAGGTAGCGCATTTACGTTGTAAATGTCTATGGGCTCCAGTAACCACTTAATACCAGGTGGGCTGTGAGCTCGTCCACCCAAATACGCAATACAAAAAAGTACCAACCACACTTTGTTAGGAGATAGAGTCCCTCTCTAAAAAACCCTAAACTTAGTTATCGACTTATAATCTTGACAGCTCCGAGTATTTTGACGTCTTTAGTACCAAATTATCTAGAGGAACTCTGAAAGTAGCTCTGACATTGACAGCTAAGCAAACTAAGCCGGCTTGCACCTAAGTGGTCATGTAATCGTATGTCACATTTAATTAAACACACTGTGTTTATAATAACTAAAACAATAGAACGAACAAACAAATAAAATTCCCAGACACCCGAATTCCCAACTCAAAGACTTACACAAAGAACACGACTCAAAAATAAATTTAGACGGTAAGACTTGGCGTTATCAAAGCAAAACATTAATTAAGATAGTTGAACTGTAAATACAAAGTTTAATCTATAAATTAGTACGTGAAGAAAAAACTTCGTATCCCTTTTTACGAAAATTGCGCGGACGGAGGAGTATGAAATTTTCCACACTTATAGAGAGTATAGAGAAGAAGTGCACAATGCTGATATTTTTTTTAAATAATGCATAAAAGATACATTAAACCAATAAAGAAAACATTACCCACACTACCATGTATTTGACACACACACACGCAAGCATACTATTTGTTTATTGTCAAACTTTTCTTATTGCATAAAGTCTATGGTCAAATTGAGAATAGATTAAATATTGTTTGTTTTTGTTAATATTTGTCTAAAGTGTAGTCTTGGTGAAATCTGCTATTATATAAGTATAATAAAGTCTTTGACAATAGAACCATAATAATGTTCAAACTTATAATTTCAGTTAATTATAGTCGAATTTCGACTACTGCGGAACCACTAGCATAAGATTAAATTCCGTAAACTTGTATCATTTTAAGGTGGGCAGCGAAAATACTAAAACACGTAACAAAAATAATGAACTTGAAATGGGAGCTGCGAAACGGTGAGATCCTGGCCGAGGAACGCGGTGCAGTTGTCGTTTCAAATCATCAGTACACATTGGATGTTTTAGGTAAATCGTTTTCATAATTACGAGTTACGAGTTGAAGATAAAGCTATTATTACTACAAAATAAAATTTTACTGGTGGCAGGACCTCTTGTGAGTCCGCGCGGGTATGTACCACCGCCCTACTTATTCAGCCGTGAAGCAGTAATGCGTTTCGGTTTGAAGGGTGGGAAAGCCGTTGTAACTATACTTGAGACCTTAGAACTTAGATCTCAAGGTGGGTGGCGCATTTACGTTGTAGATGTCTATGGGCTCCAGTAACCATTTAACACCAGGTGGGCTTTGAGCTCGTCCACCCATCTAAGCAATAAAAAAAAACCACCACCCATCTAAGCAATAAATAAAAAAGATGTTTTGTTATTTACGAGTTGTTCTTGCTATACGTAGCTTGTATTATTTGAATACGCACACGCACACACGCAAACATTCGACCGATTATGGATTTAAATTTAAATTAATGATAATCATTATCTACAACCTAGTAATAATTTGTACTTGAACTAAAATTTAAAACTGATAATCTCTGGTTCAGTAACCTTGTTGATGTTATTATTGCTATGATTTTATTACACCAGCTTTATTAGTTGTAGAATTCCTTCGATGTTGAATAGTTACCGTTAGAGATACTATGACGCGAATGGCCTTACCCATGTCGAACACGAGATCAAAACCTTAATTGTTTTGTCCAACGGTTGTCGCATCAAACCCGAATGTATATACGAGTAATCCCATTGGACCTTATAAATGCTACCGCTAGTAAATACGGTCTTAGCATGCTGGTGATCAAAGAACACCCGTATTAATTTCTTGATCAGCCACGGATCGGGAAGAGTTGGTACGAGATTGTAGCAAACTCGAGATATCAAATCACTACATAGTATAAAACAAAGTCGCTTTCTCTGTCCCTATATCCCTATGTATGCTTAAATCTTTAAAACTACGCAACAGATTTTGATGCGGTTTTTTTTTAATAGCTAGAGTAATTGAAGAGGAGGGTTTATATATATAATAACATCCATTAAATAGTGGAGAAATCAATAATAAATTACAGTTTCCGAAGCGAAGCGAGGGTGGGTCGCTAGTAAATAATATAATAATTAATTAATTAATTAATAACTGGGAACAAATAACGCACGGTCATCTGGTCTCTAATTAGGATTCCCCGTGTTATTGGTACCAGAGACTGACATATATACAACGGCGGATCCAGGGGGGGGGGNGGTCATGGGGGTCATGACCCCCCCCGAGCTAGTTCCAGGACTTGAACTAACTTGGACTAATTGAAGAACATCATGATTTATTTATTATCTATTGTTATCAAAATTAAATCATAAGTTCTTAACTTGCCCGCGACTATGTGACTCCCTCCTGGCGCCAAAGCTGGATCCGCCCTTGCATATATATGGCAGATATAGACACCCGGACAAAGAGTAAACAAGTCTGTTCATCAGTGTGCTTAGTGCGAGTTTTTTAACGTTCTCGATAGCGTAAAAGTTAGCTCATATATGTATGGAATGGGATCGCTTGCCTACGTTTGCCGTTAAGGGCGCTGTTCCAATTGCATACAAAATTTGGTTAACTTTTACGCTATCGAGAACGTTAAAAAACTCGCACTAAGCACACTGAACTATATTTGCCCGATGTGACCCTCGGCGCTAGACTAAGGACCACTAACTACTGCACCACCGAGTCAGTCCTAATTAAAAGCGCTTTTGTTGTTTGTTTTTTTTCTACTAATAAACTATAATTTCCGTGGTGTAAGCATTTATCTATTTTAACAATTTATTTCCGCATCCGCGTCCTCGATATCATGGACGGTATCAAATTTTATTGTAATTAAACGTTCATACGAATAATATTTATCGATTCAACACTCACGTTGTTGAAATAAAAGACTGGAAACTAGAGCAAGGTAAATAAAACTTTAGGCTTAAAATGCAGGATTTTTAGCCCTTTTTTATTGCTTAGATGGGTGGATGAGCTCACAGCCCACCTAGTGTTAAGTGGTTACTGGAGCCCATAGACATCTACAACGTAAATGCGCCACCCACCCTGAAATGTAAGTTCTAAGGTCTCAGGTATAGTTACAACAGCTGTCCCACCCTTCAAACCGAAACGCATTACTGCTTCACGGCAGAAATAGGCAGAGTGGTGGTACCTACCCGCGCGAACTCACAAGCGGTCCTACCACCAGTAAAAATAAAATTCGAGTTAAGTGATTGCCAGAGCCCATTAGCAGCACGTCAGTACCCTGAGTACAGTCTCGGACGTAAAAAGTCTGACTGTAAACGTGACGTAAAAACCGAACGCATAATAATTTCTATGCCTAAGACATTCTCGCTTAGTGAACAAAGAGTGGCGTGAACAGTGTCGTACATTACTTTATGGAAAAAAATGAGTGAACACATTCAGCATACATACATTCACACAACATACAACGCAGTACAAGTCTATTTTAATATTATTAAATAGTATAAAATTTTATGAACAGACCAATAATCATTTACGAGTATATCAGCCATAACGATAAATATAAATATACATAGTAAATTATATAGCTCCACATAGCTAATAGATAATGTGTGTGTCATAATCGACTTGGTATTTTTTTGCTGAAATAGCTTATACGGGCTCCAGAAACGAAACAAAGGAATATTTTGGATATCTTACATTTACTCTGAAGAATTATGTAATACATATCGATCGATACTAATCATTTATTTGGATCAAAAAAGAAATAATAATTAAGTTATGATATCCTAGACCTCATACGACTGGCTGTGGCAGTGGAATTCAAAATTTTACTTTGGTGGAATAAAAACTTCTGTCGTTATCTGGTCTATTACGGTTACACTGCTTTACGGGAAATTCTCTCTAAAATTCCTTTGTATCCATTATCGGTAAATTGGATCACTTAAAAAATATATAAATACTCCTCTTGCACGGCATTTAATACAACAAAAAGAACCGGCGCTAATCTAAACGCCATTAATTATTTTGTATCAGTTCAGATCAACAAAAGTTCGAACTTCCGATCAGATCTAATTACCTTTTCTCGTTTCCAGGAATGTTCAATATATGGGATGTGGCTGATAGAATTTCAGCGATAGCCAAAAAAGAACTGTTTTACGTTTGGCCATTTGGTCTTTCTGCCTATTTGGCCGGAGTAGTCTTTATAGACAGATACGATCCCAAGGAAGCTTATAAACAGCTTCAGGTCACTTCAGAAGTTATGACAAAGAACAAGGTCAGTATTAACTATAGACTCTACTTTTAAATACAACGGACACTAATATTATTGTAATGCATTTATTGTATAGTAAATTTTAGTAGGTAGATAGATTGAAGGAATTGTCGATACATACATTCTTCGTTAAGAGCAACAGATAAAGTGCGCGATAGATCTTAACAGATCCCCCCAGGCATGACTCATAAGTCGGCCCTTTCTAAAACATCACTACTACACTACCCCACAATCGCGATTTTATCTACCACTCCCGCTCTTAGTCTACGGGCACGAAACTTGCGATGGCCGAGCGATGGCGACAGCGGCGCGACGGCGATGTATACAAAAGCATTGCACAGTATGGGGACGGGCACGAAACGGGCGATGGCGGAGCGGGGCGATCGAGCGATGATGGGGCGACGGCGACGCGGAAGCGACGAGAACAAACTACTTTGGTTTCGTTGCTTGCGCGGGTACACAGTGTTGTGTTCAGTTATTATTTTAGTAATGGAAATTGATAATGAGGAATTTATAATTTAACAAGGAATTTAAAATTTCATTGAATGACACCTTAGCTCGTAATAAAGCGTAGAAAATTCTCCCAAATTGCGTCTTCGTTGATTTATTGGATGAACACCATCTCTAAGTAATAATAATTCTCTCAATAGGAGACTAGGCTCCAATAGTTCTCTTCGACGTAAACTCATGATTCGCACAACACTGCTCAAGCGCGACTGCCCGCCAGCTTGTTTCGTGCCCGCGCGAGATATCGCTGCCTACCCGCTCCGTGTCGCGTCGCCCCGCTGCCGCCATCGCTCAGCCATCGCAAATTTCGTGCCCGTAGACTNAGGTAATAATAATTCTCTCAATAGGAGACTAGGCTCCAATAGTTCTCTTCGACGTAAACTCATGATTCGCACAACACTGCTCAAGCGCGACTGCCCGCCAGCTTGTTTCGTGCCCGCGCGAGATATCGCTGCCTACCCGCTCCGTGTCGCGTCGCCCCGCTGCCGCCATCGCTCAGCCATCGCAAATTTCGTGCCCGTAGACTTAAAGTTTTAACGAGATACACCCATACTTTTCTGTGCACAAACAAAACAGTCAACATTTTGAGATTAATTGCAATCGGAAAATTGAGAAATTATAAAATAAGTCGTCTTTGTTAAAGTTACACGAGTGAAATATTTCATTTCTAAAAGTAAATAAGTAATGAGAATGTTACTTTATTAGTTAGACTGTCACGACATAAATAGATGAATCAAATAATCGAAGTTTTGCCTATACGTCGTCAGTACATAAAAGTACACATGTGCTTTTATTCCTAAAAAAGTATAATACTTTCCGAAAAGTTCCGAAGGACTTATTTCCGGATCAACACGATCGAACTATGAAATCGCTCGTGAAATCGTGGAGTCAGCTCGTTATTGAATTTATAGTAAAAAAAATGGTACATCTGTATTTTTTTTATTTTTTAAGAATATTACAAACACACTGCTATCGTGTTCAACAACCATTACCACCCTAAATACACCTCTAAGAATTCATGCAATATTTGCAACAAATCTAACATCCCCAATTCGGCAAGCTAAAACGCCCACATTAATGTATATGTATTATGTATTATATTAACCCTTACACCTTAGAAAGGAATAACTTATGATACACCGTAAGTAAGAACGTAATGTCTAAAATAATTCCTTACAGACGAAAATCTGGATATTCCCTGAAGGCACCAGAAATAAGAATTTTACAAAATTCCTACCATTTAAAAAAGGAGCCTTTAACATTGCTGTTTCTGCTCAAGTTCCTGTCATACCTGTGGTTTATTCTCCATATTACTTCATCAATCCCAAGAAGCATATCTTCAATAAAGGTATTTATTCTATTTAACATCAAATTATAATTTTAAGTAGATTTTTTTTTAATTGCTTATATGTGTGGACGAGCTCACAGCCCACCTGGTGTTAAGTGGTTACTGGAGCCCATAGACATCTACAACGTAAATGCGCCACACACCTTGAGATATAAGTTCTAAGGTCTCAAGTATAGTTACAACGGCGGCCCCACCCTCCAAACCGAAACGCATTACTGCTTCACGGCAGAAATAGGCAGGGCGGTGGTACCTACCCGTGCGGACTCAGAAGAGGTCCTACCACCAGTAAAATCGTATGATAATTTACAAAACTGGCAAACAAACAAGAAAATCTTAAATTATATTATTACTCCCATATTTCAAACTGAAAAAAAAACTAAAGGGACACCCACCAACAAAAGCACCTATTCATTCCATTATTAGTGGTTAATAAATTTGGTTAGCCCTCTAGTCTAAATTGTAGACAGACAGCCAGTAAGTACCATTACGTGTCATAATGTCAAGGCTTCTTAGTGGGATATATCGTAAATTTGCTAATGCAATTCGATAGGGACACAAATTGGTTCAGGTTCGAACAATTCCTTGCCTGCTAATCCACTACGTCATTGTGTCTGAAGCCCTTGATTATTTAAATCGTTCGCCACACTTACCTATACGTTGATGCTACACAAAAATGTAAAATGGAGCCTGAAATTCAATGGAACTGTGACCATTTCCAACTTACATTTTGCTGTCAGATTGGCTGTCTAAGAGTATATTTATAAACCAGCAATTTACATGTTTGGCTATAATCGCTAATGTAACCATAACAATCCACATACAATAAAAGCGGTTGATGTGAAATTCCTTCAAGAACTTGTCCTTTTGTCTCCGATGTTTTAGATTTATGCACGCTTTGTCGTGCTAATGAGCTTTGGGAGGGAAAGGAATACTTTAGCTTACTAAGTTTCTCGCCGGATTTCTTAGTGGGACGCAATTCCGATCCGGTGATAGATTCTGCGAAGCACTGCTCTTGCTAGAGCTAATGCTAAAAAATTCTCGGGTAGAACCCGTGAGCTCACCTACCCGTCCGGGCGAACAATAGCCCCTTAGGCTACAGCGAATAGATAGGGGAAAAAAGGTATCCCTATCATACCAACTAGGCGACGAGAACATTCATATGTACATACTATATCTGGATAAATCCCAATGTTGATCCTAATTTTTAATCAATCACACTGTCCGTTATACAAAAAAAATGTTATGAACTAGTTACGTTTAACATTGAGCTTGAATTCTATTATATTGCTTACATAGATTTTATTTTGAAATTTCAGGTCACGTAATAATGCAGTGTTTGGAGCCAATACCCACTAAAGGATTAACTATGGAAGATGTACCTATTTTAATACAAAAAGTATACGAAAAAATGACTGCGGCCTATAAAGAACTATCCAAGGAAGTCTTAAGCGATTTACCTCCAGATTATGCTTACAGCCCTGTTGGATAACCAATAGCAGTTTTTTTTAATTAGATTTAAATTAAAATTAGTTTTAAATTAGATTTAAGTCCTGCTAGCTTTTAAATGCTATGTCGCAATTTTCTAATGTAAATAAATTATTTTTATCTGATTACTCTTATTTCAATGTCAGATTTCATAATAATAAAAAATACGTTTTAGTCTTGATGAGATCATTAGCTGTCGTTTCATAGCTCGATTCAACGAGACCCGATGAAAGGGCAAACAGCCTATACTCAGAAAACGTTTTAAAATAAACTAACATCCTTATTTATGGTAATGACACCGGGCTGTTGATAAAGCATGAGTTGTCAGGTATGTTTTCTCGCCGAACCCGTCGCTTGTGAAGATGGAATCGACGAGTAAATTAGCCCATAGACACAGCCCACTGAGTTTCTCGCCGGATCTTCTCAGTGAGTCGCGTTTCCGTCCGGTGGTAGATTCTGTGAAGCACTGCTTTTGCTAAGGCCAGTGTTATCAACACTCCCGGTTTGAGCCCCGTCAGCTCTCCTACTAGTTCGGTGAATCTAGAACAACCCCGCGAGGTTACTAGAAAAGGTAGGAAAAAAAAATGCTTGATCACTGTTGGAGGCCGATGATTCTGGGAGAAGTGCGTAGTCGAAGCATGTCGATTAATGTTCAAAGTAAAGAGGAATAGTTTGACGACTCTCTTACAGTGGGATGGCAATCTTAGCTCGCGCCCGGGGCACAATACGTTTTTGTTGGACTCAACCCCTTTCGAAAACCATAATATAATATAATATGTAAAATATACTCACAAATTTATAAATAAATAAAGTTAAATCTAGGCTTTCAATTTGAAACAATTAAAATAGTAGAGAAAACAAGACTAGATTTTGAAATGTATATGATCATATAGAATTAGTTCAAAAGATATCTAATATTTATTTTACATATTTATAAACAAATATTGACCACTTGGTGCTCCTTCATGAGTAGCGCCCGAGGCCTGATTAACTGCTCTGTTTAGTCGCTATCACTCTCTCTCTATTTCTTTTCCCAAAGATAAACAAATCTATACTCTTGTCCTTATTTTCTTTTGAAAACCTATCTACGAATAAGATTTCCTATTGAATAATATTTGGGAAGGTGGATAACTCTATTACAGATATTCTGCTGGCGATAAGGATCTTAAAATGTCATCTACCTACATTACAGGGGCTACCGTACTACAAATTTCCAGTATAATGGCATACTGCCATTGTTTTGTTTGATCCCTATAAGATGATTCTCATTTATCTCTGCTCTCCATGATAAGAAAATCTTCCTCTTCCATTAGCCTCCATAGTTGCTTGCTATCTGTTAGTTTGGTTCAGGTATGTATCGGTGTAATCTGTTTAATTGTCGTCATAGATAATCACATAATATTAGCAGTTGTGGTATGTCTGTATGTCTATGTAGTCTATGGCTGCCGTTTTGTTTTCATCCGTTAGTGCTAGAATGCTTTGTTTGTAATAATAATGTGTTTTCCATATTAAGCAAGTAACCGCTAATTTCTTTATTATTTAAATGCAATCGTTCCAAAAATGATCGATAAAATAATTTATATAATTGTGTTAATGCTAATGACCTATGTGGTAAAACAACTAATTTCGGAAACGCCTAACTTCGTAAAGTTTAAATCCAAATTTCTCATATTTTACATTTGGACATCTCTTACAGCAATAGTATTACTGCCGTTTTTTGTGTTCAATCCCAAAAATGTGAAGAATTCTCTGTAAGTACTTACTACCTACAAGTGGTCATGTCTTACATGATCAATAATAAATAAACTGTGACTCAACCCAGGTAATCAGTCTTATGTCTTGAACGATGTGTGTATTTCCTTCATGAATACATAGCTTTCATAACGCTGTAAATTTGCCGTGGATTTACAAGATATAATATTTCAAAAAAGTTAAAAAAATGTTTTTTTTTTTGCACCTCAGAAAATCATGATAGATTCATGTATACAAAATTAAGTGATAAAAAAAATACAAAACATTTTGTATCACACACCAACCTAAACGGTCATTATAAAAATATAATCACCTTTTAAAATTTATTTATTTATTTAAATATTTTAAGTTTTTTTTTATTGCTTAGATGGGTGGACGAGCTCACAGCCCACCTGGTGTTAAGTGGTTACTGGAGCCCATAGACATCTACAACGTAAAATACGCCACCCACATTGAGATATAAGTTCTAAGGTCTCAAGTATAGTTACAACGGCTGCCCACCCTTCAAACCGAAACGCATTACTGCTTCACTGCAGAAATAGGCAGGGTGGTGGTACCTGCCCACGCGGACTCACAAGAGGTCCTTCCACTAATAAAACATTTAAAAAAAATTATAGTTGGCTGATACTTGGTACGAATACTGCGGGTGGTATTCCTATCTTTGAGGCCACGATGGCTTTTGGGATACATGTTAACAAACTTTAAATTTTGCTTCAGCTTTGCATCTCAAATTGTAAAACATGTTACTAAAATAATAGAAGTAAAATGGCATTTAAGAAATGGTAAAGTCCTTGCAGACGACAGAGGTGCAGTGGTAGTTTCAAATCACCAATCATCTATTGACATATTGGGTAAGCAATACATCAATTAATATTGTTTATTTCTTCTGAGCTAAAAGCAATGTTCACAAGTAAATATTGAAACAAAATGCTATTACACATTTTAGTGTATACGTTTATACATTTTTGCATTTTATATCTATTTGATGGAAGTTTCGAGATTATGAGGTATATGGTCCGCATTCCTGAGTACTTGAAGAAATGGAGTATAAGAAATAGAGTTTGTAATACTGTCACAAAAATAGAGTTTTCAGGGGCCAATGTAGTGGTCAATGAGCATAGTGCTTTTATGTGTCCAATTTATAAAATTAACCTTAGATTGAAAGATAATTTTTTTTTATCTATTTGTTGTGTACCTAGTTTATATTTTCACATGTATTCTAATGTAATAGTTAGGATCTAATATTATTATCTAAGCAAATTGATTACATTCCAAATTTTTTTTCTTTATTTTACACTTTAAATTATTATTTTTGTTATAATAAATAACCGTAAATTATTACAATTAGTATAAGTAAGTACAATTTAGGCATAAGAACAATCATGCCCAGTCTTTATGTATTAAATTATTAAAAAAAATACATAAAAAATCGTGTAAACATTCCATTTTTAATTTTTATATTTTTTATTCCGTTTACCTGTAATGCAAAAAATGAGAAAATAAAAAATGTTTTATACTTACTCATGAAAATGAAAGTGTTTTTGGTACTTGTAGAAATTTTTATGGCACAATACCATCAATAAACGATAAGTAACAAATGTCACTACAATGCATATTGTTGTTCCTCTGGTCATATTATTTTTTCTAATATCTTTAGTATCTATGATGCAGCTATATCTGTTTTAGGAATGTTCAATATTTGGCATGTTGCCGATAAAGTGGCAGCAGTTGCAAGGAAAGAGATATTTTATGTTTGGCCATTCGGCTTAGCAGCATATTTGGCTGGTGTTGTATTCATAGACCGAAATAATTCTAAAGATGCCTACAAACAGTTGGAAATCACTTCTGAAGTCATGGTGAAGAATAAAGTAAGCATTTCTTTATTTATTTGTATCTAGCTGTTTTTACTAATCATTATTTATTTTTTAACTTATAAGAGAGGAAAAATAGGTTCAAACTAAAATTTATTTCCTTGTGTTCATTACCGAGTACTAAGTTGCTTAGTACTAAAAAAATATTGTGTGACCACAACTCTACTAAAATAAAAATTTAATTTCATTTAATAAAAACCTGCAAATTTATAAAAGTAATAATTATTTGAAATATAGCTTGTTGTGAGTCTACATGAATATGACTACTCCATATATATAATTATATATATTATAATTTAGGTGGATCCACCCAAATTATAATAACAAGTATTTTAATGTTTAAGTGTTATTTAACACAGTAAATTTTAATTCAGTTTTATTTTGTTAGACAAAGATCTGGTTGTTTCCTGAAGGCACAAGGAATAAGGATTTTACCAAATTATTACCATTCAAAAAGGGAGCATTCAACATTGCAGTAGCTGCACAAGTTCCAATTATACCTGTTATATATTCACCGTACTATTTTATCAACAGAAGAAAATGTATTTTTGATAAAGGTAAAAATTATATGCAACGAAATAAAGTAGAATGAAGAAATACATGCATTTACCACATACAAAATACAAGTTTTACTTAAAATGCAATTTCTAAAAAATTTTTTCAATTTTCAACTAATTTTATTAATTACTATCTACCCTTGAATTCACTTTTAGGTCTAAAATAAATAAATAAATTATAGTTACTTTTAGGGTTTAAACATATATTTCTAATATTTTTCCTAATGAAACTTTACTGTACACATTGCTGCATTCAATTATTTTTTTTTCTTTATTTCCGCCTTTTTCAGAAACAATAGAGGACATTAGCCAAGAATTCTTGTAAAATTGATTTTCAGGTCACGTCATAATTCAGTGCCTAGAGCCGGTAACCACCGAAGGTCTGACGATGCGGGACGTGCCCGAGCTGATCGAACGAGTGCGCAACATGATGGACGCCGCATACAAAGAACTTTCGAAAGAGGTAACATTCATTTGCATAATTCTTAAACCTTTTCTATTCCGCCCAGTGACTCATTTTTTTTTCTTTTGCATACTTAGGTGTGTGGATGAGCTCACAGCCCACCTGGTATTAAGTGGTTGCTGGAGCGCATAGACATCTAAAACGTAAATGCCGCCACCCACATTGAGATATGAGTTCTAAGGTCTCAGTATAGTTACAACGGCTGCCCCACCCTTCAAACCGAAATGAATTACTGCTTCACGGCAGAAATAGGCAGGGTGGTGGTACCTACCCGTGCGGACTTACAAGAGGTCCTACCATCAGTATAGAACATACACTAAAAATATTAAGCCTGGTGTGAGTTAATTATCTTTTAATTGCACAGATCGTTATGCCATGCATATGCATGCACATACCTGATGTTAGGTGGTTATTGAATACCACAGACACCACTCGGGACATGAGATCAATTGCAAAGGAATTACATTCATCATATTAACCTTAAAACAGAAACTTATAACCACTCACAGTAATAACATAAGTCTATGCTGAGCTTAACTTTTGTAATGTACCTATTATAATAGAGCAACAGACACACTTAAATAGCAGTCGCGTTTTCTTCACAAGCGATATCTATAGTGTTGCATTATAAGTTTGCGAGACCAAACTGTTTTAATTATAGTACTGAACACAAACTTTATTCACTTTATAGGTACTGAGCGCACTCCCACCTAACTACCCGCTCGCCACGACGGATTGATCTCAGAACATCACCGCAATATTCGGTACTACTAAGTCATATTAATTCACGTATGTCAACATACAAGTATTATTTCGTGTTTCATATCGATATTTTAATCGATATGAAAGCAACGTGATTATTGTTTTATTTTGTGACATTATACTCGAATAGTTTATTATCTCGAAGTCAGAAGCATACGGTTTTTTTTTTTAAAACGATAGTATCGAATTAAAAACTAATATGAAAAGTTGCAATCACCGATATTGAACCTTATGCCTCTGATGTCAAGATACATTATTATTTTTTAAGGAAATCGATCCCGAAAACAGACAAATGGACTATCACCAGTGAGTGGCCACTGATAATCAACCATCAAAAGTGGAACAGGCTCGTAGACGAGCATGTAAACTGCTCATTCGGGTGTATTTTTTTCTCCTCACAAAAACTAGTACGTTATTGGCGCGATGTCAATATTTTTTCACGAATCAAATTATTAGGCTTGCGCGGTATTTACGTGCTAAAAATCCCAATGAGGCATAATATTAGACGAGAGAACGGAAGTCATCTTGGCCTGTTAAGCGAAACGCCAAGTGCTCTCCTGTCAAATGATGTGGTTCAAATCCTGCAGGCAGGTACCAATTAATGAACGTCGTATTCTACTTCTACTACGAAGCAGTAGTGCTATCCAGTTTGAAGGGGGGGACAGTCGTTAAACAATAAATAAATAAATATTTACTAACAATCACGCCACGTTAACTGGTCCCGTGATAAGTTCGTAAAGAACTTGTGTTACAGGTACCAGATAACGGATATAAATGTAAGATTTTTATTATACACATACATATATTTAATATACATCCATAACCCTGGAAAAGACATTTATATTTATCATACAAATATCTTCCCTTGGCGGGATTNACTAACAATCACGCCACGTTAACTGGTCCCGTGATAAGTTCGTAAAGAACTTGTGTTACAGGTACCAGATAACGGATATAAATGTAAGATTTTTATTATACACATACATATATTTAATATACATCCATAACCCTGGAAAAGACATTTATATTTATCATACAAATATCTTCCCTTGGCGGGATTCGAACCCGCGACCCCCTTGTGTGGTGACCATGTCACTTACCACTACACCAGACGGCCGTTTGACAAACAATACGTTTGAGACTTTGACCTCATTCATGCCTCAAGACGAATAGGAGCATTCACATTATGTTCCGTATGCTCTTTGCTTATCTATCGTATACTAACTACATCTTCCCTACTCTTCAACACGAACCATGACTACTTAAGCAGTTAATGATGCAGTAAAATTAATATTTAAAAATTATTAATTAAGCTACACGCAACTCACTTGACGCCTGGGGTTAACGTTCAAGCCGGCTTACCCGAGATTATCTTGTTTTAAATTAGTTTCCCCAAACGAATATGGTATTATATTCGTGTTAAGTTGATATGTAATTGTTTCGCGTCTTCGGGATCGATTATCTAATACTTAGTGCGATACTCGTGAAAGTATCGATATTGCCATAAAGTTGAATTATCGTATTTTGTACTTTTACAATTGTGTAGTTGTTAAATCGACAATGAATTCAAGAAAAAATTGTCACGTAATCTATTCTAAATATATACCTTAAATGTATTATAAAATTAATGGAACCTCGGAAGTATTAGAAATTGCAAAGATATCACGATTTTAACCGAAAGTATTTTAGTATAAGCTTTGATATTGATTTTTTTATTGATTGACAACAAAAATGTAGGTATAAGACTATAACCACCCATCAATATTAACTACTAGTCTAGTTTATACGAAAACTGGAAAATTATTTTTCTATATTCGTATTCGATAGTGAAAACCAAGTATTTTAGTGTAACCTATATATTTTTTATTATCCTAGGCCACCCTAGTTCATTACCTTAATTAAACACCAGATTTATGTTATCACGAATCAATTGAAATAAACTGACCGTAAACACTCATAGTTTCATGGTTGGCAAAATCGATTAATATCGATATAATGACACACTTGCTTAACACCCGACTTTGTTCTGAAGCATACTTAAAAAATAGAAATACATTTGCTCAATTGATATAGTTTTTTGACAAATATTTTGCGAGCATTTTTATAAACAATTTTCTTTGTCATAGTTAACTACAAATATAATACCCTAAAAGATGGCATTATCAATTTTCTAACCTACCATAGATTAAAAAAATATCCGAATCCTTAGCTCAAATTTCTATGTAGAAAAAAATATATTTTCAAAACATATCTATTGAACATTCGATATTTAAAACTGGTCCATGTAGTATTGATAGTAAAATTCGAACCGTATACACAATGCATTGTTACGTAACCGTTTAATTCCATTACGTGCTGAATTTTAATCATTCTCTAAACAGCAGTGTACATTTCAATTAGTTTGAAATCGAATTACCTGCCTTTTATTCGCTAATTAATTTCGCTTTTAACGGTTTTATTACTACATGCCATAATTACTATTAGTTTTATGCTTCTTTAATTATTAGTAATTATTTTTTTATCGCTTAAATCAGTATTCAATGTGAACTTAGCTTTAAGGATTAATTTATAATCGGCGCCATTGATTATTTAGTTTTGTTACTTTAATAATTGGAAGAATTATTTTAATCTTCGAATGTTGCCATGTTTTGCTATAAAAAAAAACCAGTGCAATAGTAGAAATTTAAATTGGCGATAGTAGTGATCTCAAATCATGTATTTTGTTTAAGTTGAAAGATAAATCTAAACATCCAGTGTTTCATTAAATTAATATTAACTATACTTGAAGCAATTTGGATGCTATTATAGACGATGTTTTGAAATAAGCTTTGGCTTAATTATACTTAATATGTATGTATATGTTATAAGAGAACTAATTACATCGAATCATGTTTTTTCACTGTCGGTCAGCGCGGAAAGCAAAACTCGAAACTTTTAAAAGGCGGTGGAGGCTGAAATAACACAATTTTCAATAAAAAAGGAACATGATGTTACATTTAAATAGTTTGACAAATTAAAAGACAATAATAAGTTGATTTTAAAGTCCGTTTGAAATTGCAAGCATGATAAATGATATGTCTCATATGTTTATATATTTGAAGTATTCAATAATGTATTTTTCACACATACAAAGACAAAGATTTGTATTTTGCCTCGCAAATACAATTAATTAGACACTGCCGTATCCTAAAGCAATTTTCGATTTCGTATATTGCATTCCAGAAAAACGAAACCACTTATGCACGTTTCATTAGTAAGATGAAAAAGATTTAAAAAAAACAGTCGTTGAAGTGTGTCTGCCCTTATAAATCACCTTTTAACATGTATTATAAAATTTGACATTAACAGTGACAATAGCTAATAAAATCTTTCAAGAAACATGAAGTTCCTCTTCAAAAACCTTTTCGAACTAATCTGAGTAAGTATAAGGCAATAAATCTGTAATTTAGTTCTCACAAAGTGTATTACCAACATTAATAAACTGGTAAACCTTATATATTATATTTTAAATTCTTTGACATGAATATTATGTTGTATGATTATGATTTATGGTTTTTTTTTGTTCCAACACTTCATTTATGTGTCAAATAGTATTATTATTATTTATTTAGTATTATTATTATTACTACTACTTAAAACTACATTAAGAAACTCTAAAAACAAATGTATGATATGATCTGAAATAAGGGCCGAATACAATGCTAAGTTATGAAGTTACAAGCGACAATGTATTAGTATCGCTTTCAACTGTTTATATAAAGCAATAATTTAATTAATATGCAATCGCATTAATCCAGTGATATAGTGATAATCAAAATGACGTTAGGAGGCGACCTGTCTGCTTATTGGGAGTTTTTATCGTTCCCGATAGCCTAAATGTTAGCTCGAATTTGTGTGAAGTTAGAATTTTGCCTACGTTTGCCGCTAGGGGCGCTATTCCAACTTCATACAAAGTTGAGTTAACTTTTACGCTATCGAGAACGTTAAAAAACTCGCACTAACCACACTGAATTAGAAACAGCCGATGTAAAAACTATTTGCAATATTAATATATATTTAAAATCCTATGATAAGTATTAAAAATAAATTGCTTTTTGTCGTTTAATATAAAATATTAGTGCCATTTTTGCTTTAAAAATTACGCTTTTTTTGCTATGAAATATTTTTATTCGTAGTGGGTATCAAAAATGTCCCTAAAATGTATTAGTGCATATTATAAATATAATGTAAGTAGAGTTTTATATTCATTTTATTTTAAAACTCTACGTTTAACAATCTGATCTAATAGAAATATTCGTTATTGAATATATAAGATTATGCTAAAATGTTATTGATTTTATTTGATACTTCAATGATATAATCAATATTTTGTATGTGCAAGATACTTTGGTTTTAAATAGTATGACTTTATATAATATATTAATCGGCACGAGTCTTGAGCTCTCGATAAAAGAATGGCGGGCCGTCTGCGCATCGTACACATAGGGTCAAAATAAATGGTACACTCATATTTTAATATATTTTTTTATAATTAAATTAACTTAGTTCAAATGTAGTTTGCTGCAGTGATACACAACTGACGGCATGTGACGCGACGTGGAGAAATCCAATCACGTCATCAAAGTGGACGGTGCAACCTCCCCCCCCCCCTCCCCACTTTGCTTCGTTCCCCCAAACAGACCCAAAAATGGACTTCTGCGCATGTCTAGATCAGAGCTCAAGACGATTCCGATAGAGGCACCCGTCACGTGCGGACGTGCTCATCGACCACTCGATCGCCCGGCCTTTGTTCGCCCGGCTTTTGTTAGCCCGGCCATTGTTCGCGCGGCCTGTGTTCGTGGTACATCTGCCGACTAAGTGCTCTTCCTGGAAGTTTTTATTTGTTTTGTTTCCTTTTGTTATTTCTGTGTTCGTGGTACATCTGCCGACAAACTGTCTTCCTGGAAGTGTTTAATTGTTTTGTTTCTTTTTGTTATTTCCGTTTTGTTGTGATTTTTCTTTGTCCTGCAGTAATCGTGCCGCATCGCCACCTGTGTTCAATAGAACCGCTCAGGTCCGAGAAGTTGGGGCCTCGCCGCAAGGCGAGTGTTTTCTAAGACCCAGGGTAGCCCCACCTGGGCACGTAGACATCATGGACGCTGTATTTGCGGAATTTCTCCGGCTTCGCTACCCAAAGCTCACTTCCGAGTTTCAGGCCTTCAAGGCCGATCACACTGCGAGCCCTCTCGTGGACTCCACCGAGCTCGCTGCTCCTGCGTCGCCTGTACCTGCGTGCAAAGCTTCTGCATCGAGCACCGCAGCCTCCGTCGTGCCTGCCGTTCCCGCGTCGCCTATACTGGCGAGTAAAACTGCTGCGTCGTCCGCCGTGGTCACCGTTCCAGCAGCGCGATCATCCGC